TATTATATCAAAAAATATAAAATGTTAATTAAAATAAATATTAAATATATTAAATATATTTAATAAATTGTTAGGATGTTTAAAAATAAAAAAAAATGAGTTATTATTTCTTTTCGAAGTGGACATTATTATAATCCAACGCTATCAAAGTAAACCAAGCTAACATAAGGAAAAAAAATGTATTTTTTGAAGTTGAAGATCAAAAGAAACTTATAAAAATTAAAGGATAAAAATTATATAAAATTTCAAAATTAAAGGACTAAATTAATATTTAACTTTTTTTTTTTTCTTTTTTTTTTCTGGGAACAACGTATCTATTGGGGCAGCCAGATGAAATCTTTTAAAACAAGTTTCTCTTATCCATAAATAGACTTTTCGCGGAAGTCAAAATATGAATTAAAAAATCAAAGATAGTTATATAAAATTTTAATTTTTTAATATAATTTTATATATCATGTTATTTATTGGTTTGTTTTTTGTTATATTATATTTATGATTGTGAGAAAACAAGGCGGGAGATAAAAATATGAAGAAAAATGATACTTTTTTCTTTTTTGTTTATTCATTTGAATATATAAAGTGCCAATTTATAGGTTTATATAAAAAAATATTTTTTAGTATAAAATCAATTAATTTAATTATGTTAATCAATTACAATATGAATATAATTATAGCAACGCAAACATAATCAAGGAGAATATTCTATAACATCCCCTTAAACTTAAAGTGGTGATCAGAAAACTAGTTTGAGTTTGAAAATGAGAGTGCGGAAGCATCCAGAAAAATGAATCTTAGTAAAGAGATTAGCAAGTTGATCAACAGAGCTAATAAAGACCAGGTGAACAGTTCCTTTGGCAACATGATATCGAATAAAATGACAATCGACCTCAATATGTTTTGTGCGTTTATGAAAAACATTATTGTGAGCAATATGTATAGTACTTTGATTGTCACAGTAAGATCAATAGAAAATGGTTAGGAAACACCCATATCCTCCAAGAGCCATCATAGGAAAAGAAGTTTTGAAGTGGTGTCGCCTAAAGCTCTGTATTCAACCTCAATACTAAAGCGAAATGAAATCGCTTGTTTCTTACTATACCATGAAATAAGAGAGTAACCAAGAAAGAGACAATGGCCAGTAGTGGATCTTCGATTTGTAAGATCACTAGCCTAGTCAGCATCTTAATATGCAAGAAGTACAAGAGGTGAATGAGCTGAGAAGTGAAGTCCATGAAATAGTGTTCCCTTAACATAGTGAATAATACAAAGTACAATAGCATAATGAGTAGAGCGAGGAGCAGTTATAAACTAACTAACAATATGAACTGCATATGCTATGTCTGGGCGTGTCGTAGTAAGATAAACCAAACTCCTAACCAATTGTTGATAACAAGTAGGGTCAAGAAGTGGAGAGCCATCTAATGATGTGAGCTTGACGTTCGATTCCAAAGGTGTGGAGACAATCTTGCTATCAGTGAGACCAGCATTAGATATGAGATCTGATGCATATTTCACTTGAGAGAGAAGACAACCATTATCTGAGGATGTATCTTCAAGTCCTAAAAAATAACTCAAAGAGCCAAGGTCTTTCATCTCAAATTTGTGGCTGAGAAACTGCTTAAGCTCATCAATCCTTGAAACATCATTTCCAGTGATAATCATATCATCAACATATATGAGTAAGAGAACCATTTCCTGAGTAGATTTACGAACAAATAAAGCAGTATCATGTGGACTGAATGTGAAACCAAACTCACTTACAATAGAACTAAATTTTGCAAACCAAGCTCGAGGAGACTAATTTAAACCATATAAGGCTCATTGCAATCAACATACCTTACTTACATAATATCTTTATTTTTTCATGGAGAAATCTAATATTTCGCACCCAATTTCAACTACTCTCAATGGCTCAAATTACATACTTTGGGCTCAAAGTATGTGTAGTTTCTTGAAGGGTTGGAAATTATGGCAGTATATTACTGGTGACATTACACTTCCACAAAAAGTTGTTGATGAGATAGATAAGAAGCATGTTGACCTATCGTTCAAATTGAAGATGAATAGAAGGAATTGAGGTGTTACAAAACCAAGTGATGATGTGATGATTTTTGCTATCCTAGTCCTCTAGACAGTCAACATACTTCTTATCTGTCTCATCAACAACTTTTTGTAGAAGTATAATGTCATAGTAATATACCGTGATAATTTCTTACCGTTCAAGAAACTATGCATACTTTGAGCCCAAAGTATGTAATTTACTAATTTGAGCCATTGAGAGTAGTTGAAATTGGGTGCGAAATATCAGATTTCTCCATGAAAAAATAAAGATATTATGTAAAGAAATCTGACAGAATATAATCAAAAGAGATCGTCACAGATTTGGGTAGTAATAGCAGGCTGCCGAAGAGCAATTTTGAAGGCGCGGTGCTGGCCAGGAATGTTGGAAAGAATCGAGGCAAAAGCAGAAAACCCGAAGCACGAACACGACAAGAAAAGAGCAGATGCAAAACTGGAAAACATGAGCAAGACACCAGGTGCACAACCGGAACGATGTTGGCCGAGAACAACAGTATATCACAATACTGCCAGTGCAAAGCAGAAAATCAAAAAAAGAAAAGAGATAAAAGAGCTCAATAACTCTTATACCATGTGAGAAAACAAGGCAGAAGAGAAAAATACTAAGAAAAATGATATTTTTTTCTTTATTCATCTGAATATACAAAGTACTTATTTATAGACCTATACAAAATAATATTTTATAATATAAAATTAATTAATTTAATTAAAATCAATCAATATAATGTGAATATAATTATAGTAATGTGAACATAATCAAGGAGAATATTCTATAACAATAATATT